TCCAAGAGGCGTATGCTCCCCCTCCCCCATGATTGTGGGACTTTGCCAGAAGTCAGAAACCTCCTCAGGGATGCAGAATTGTACCTCTCAGACCAAGTCCTTTCGTTGCAGTAGCTCTTAGCAGTTAACTGGCAGTGCGGATAACTTGTAAAATCTGGATCTTTTATGTCTGTGAAGTCTAGGGAGCTGCGTGATTTATTAAGCAGATTTTTATATTCCTAACAGGGAAGATTAAAAAGACAAGCTCTAATGCTCAGATCAGCACATATGCCACCGAGATAATTGTTTCTCCAGATTTCTAACTGGGATATATTTCTGTTAGCAGGGCAGGCCAGTTCCTGATTTGTTAGTTTTTAAACCATACATGCTGGAGATCCGGGCATTAATCAGTTTGCAGAGAGCTGCCAATTCCTGTCTTCTGGTCTCTTACCACCAGCAAAATTACAAACTAAGCCTCCATCCCCTGCTTCTTCTATCCTGAAGGTTGTGTGTGTGTGTGTGTGTGTGTGTGTGCATGTGCGTGCTATCTCACTAGAATGCAGCTTTTCCACACTGTCAGCTCCAACGGGCCTGCTTTGCTTTGGTTTTTCTGCATGAACAGAGACCGCCTCACTGGCTTCACAATTCTTTTTGTTACTGGATAATTCAACCATCTTGGTAGGAAAATTTTCAGTCCAGACATAAACAGCTACATCTTCAGTAGATACTTGCTGCAAAATGTTATCACCTGTATTTATTTTCCCTGGCAATGAGAAAAGGGAAGGAGAGAGGCGGGCTGGGAAGTCTAGAGAGGAGGCAGCTTCTGGTTTGCCTAGCTTTTCTCTGGAAGATTTAATCAGCATGTGCTGTCAAGGCAGAAGGATGCTTCGGCTTCCTCAAGACACTTTGTCTGAAGTGATAAACACAGCTAAGGTGACTGCAGGCCCCGCATGAGGAGCGAGGGAAACTCTTGTTTATGACTGGAATACACAAGGACAGATCTACTGGGGGCTTTCTGGCTTTTTTTGTTTTATCTTCTCTCCCTTAACTTCCTGATTCAGCAGGCAATGCTGTGGTTGGAACCATCATATATGCTGTTGTACATGAAAAACCGGCCACGTTTAATGTTTCCTCACTTCCAGGGGCTCCTGGTTAGTAACTCTGGTAACAGCAGGACACCACACATGCCTGCTTCCTTATCTTTCCCAAGCACATGCAGCCTTCTCTAAGATCAATTTTGGTGGTGGTCTGGGTGTCTTTGATTTTGACATTGGTCTTAGTGTACAAGAGAACGCTAAAGAAAAAAGCAAGAGTTGAAAAGTGAGCAAGTGTGAGAACTGGCTAACTAAACTCTTCTTGTTGAGAGCCTTCTCGATTTATCTGCAGTAGGAAGCTTAGTGGAAGCTCCCCGCTCCAGCTCAGGGGCCTGCCTGGGGAGGGTGAAGGACAGCTGTCTTCACACCTGGCCATCTCTCTAGAGACCTTTTCTGCCAGAGACCTGAAAGGGGGACTTAAGGAAAGGAAACTGTCCCTGGGGCTTCAAACTTCATGAAATGATTCTTAATTGCCCAAAATGTGGCCCAATAGGTCCTTCAACTGGCCTCCTTTGCTCTATGCCCTTGGACTAGGCCTTTTACCTGTCCAATCTTGCCTTTTCATCTGTATATGGCCGAGATTGGATTAAATCTGTAGGTTTGCAGATGATTTAAGCTTGACCCATGTGAAATAGCCTAGAAAAAAAAAGCCATTTCAGTCTTCTGTCAGTGGAATTACGAGGCCAAGAGCAACAGACTTGCAGAGTGCTGTGGAGGCCCCTCTCTCCCAGCCACTATCCGGGTGCTGGGGGCGGAAAAGTTGTACTCAGCTGAGGCGCAGAAGAGCAAATTTTCTCCCGAGTTCATGCCGAGACCTGGAGACAGGGTTCCTAACAAGTTTCAGGTCAGCCAGCCTCAGGTGGCTGTGAAGCACGGGTCTCCTTTCCCTCCTGTAGTCTCTGTCCTAGGTAAGCGGGCTCAGTGACCACAGACAGCAGAGAAGCGGACTGTGGGTTCTGGGCAGTGACACCTGCACTGGACTCTGTCCGCCACCTGATTGGTGTCCCTGCCTGTCCTCTCACCTTCAGTCCCCACTCACGGCCACATGAATGCCATGATGTCTTCCTTTGGGTCAGGTCTCCTCCTAGAAGTCTCCTTTGTTATGGCTTGAGACCAAGACTCAGCTCCTGATTTTCCTCGTGGGGATTTAAGGTTCCTGTCAAATTCTTCTTTCATCCCGGTAACACGCAGCCCAATTCCACTGTCAATCTTCCACGGTTCTCCTCCTCTAAACTCGGGGCCATGCTCTTCTCCCACCCATGTTTTCCCCTTACTACATGAACATACACACATGCACACACGCACGCACACAAACACACGTGCACACACACACACACACACACACACACTCACACACACGCCCCCCCCAACACACACAGAGGTTTGACTATATGTTTGGCTGTTGCATAATGACCGCATCTATTTGTGGGGCACAGTGAGCTATTTGAGCATCAGTACATGGTGTATTAAGGTAATCTTCGTGGCAGGTCACTGCAAAGCCAGCCTTCCCGACTAGCTCTTTTCAAGAATGTAATTATTTGGAATCAGCTATAATGACTGTGCCATTTGATTAGAAGGATTTTTTTTTTTTTTTTTTTTTTTTACTGGTTTTGTCCCCAACAGCACGTCTTTTCATTTTAAACCACACTCTTTCCCCTTTTCACTCTGTCATTTCAGGTGACATCAGTCCTTTCAATCAAATGTTCCTTATATTTAAAAATCTCGGTGGCCGTCTTCATAGCACCAGGCACACAGAAAGTACTTATCTGGATTTGTGTAGCGGAAATCGATCTCTAGTATCTTCCTTTCATGCATTTCAGAAAGGAATCTCTTTCCTGATCCTTTCCTCTCCTTGGTCCATCTGTACTGTGTGTGGATGTGTTCTCTGCAGATGTTCTTATTTTGGGGGGGCCATTCCTGCCTGAAGGCAACATCTGTCAAATCCCTCCCTGCCTACTCCAGAGATTTCATAGAGTGGGCAGTGGGATGGCAGGTGGCACTACTCCGTTGACCCGACAGCAGACTCTCATGTACATGGCCTTTATCACAGTATGTGAATCACTTAAGGGCATAAGCCATATCTTATCAAAGGTTTCATTGCTAGTTCCTCCTTATAGTATATACTACAGGATATATGATATATAGTAGGTATTCAAGAATGTGTAATATATGAGTAAAAGGGGAAAATGTCTCAGCAGGTAAAGGTGCCTGCCAGCGAGCCTCAAACATGTGTTGTGGTATATATATATATATATATATATATATATATATATATATAAATGTATTGTGCTCAGGTATTTTACTTTTAAAGACATAATCAATTAATGCCTTTTTCCACCAATAAAAATTCTAAAGATAAACTTGGATGATGTCAAAATACAACACTTGGAATCCAGTGTGCAGGACAATTGTCCACAAAACAGCAAATCAACAGCATACATGGTGTGGTGGTTTGAATAGGAATGTCCCCCCCCTTAGGCTCATAGATTTGAAAGTTTTATCACCAGGGACTGACACTTTTAGGAGGTGTGGCCCTGTTGGAGGAAGTGTGTCACTGGGTGTAGGCTTGGGATTTCAAATGCTCAAACCAGGTCTAGTCTCTCTCTCTCTCTCTCTCTCTCTCTCTCTCTCTCTCTCTCTCTCTCTCTGATCCTGCTGCTGCCTGCCAATCTGGATGTAGAATTCTCAGCTACCTAAGACACATGACGTCATCAGTGTGTGACCACCAAGGATTTGCAGAACCTGTTTTCTTTGATCTGTCCTGTTTTTCCTCTCAGCTCCAAGGAGAGAACCTAGGGTTCCCACAGTTCAAGACCCATGCTTCACCTCCTCAGCCCTCTTCCCAAGGGACCAGAGAGCCGAAACCCCCCAAGGAGCATCAGAACAGCTCCTGGCTTCCTCCATGCGGTCTCTCGCTCAGAGCTGTAGAAAGCTAACACTAAGCCCTGCACTGTTTCATATCCTGCCGCCCACTGCACATTTCATGGCTCTTTACGGATTAAATTTTCAAGCTTCTGGGATTCCTCTTGATGGATTTCATAACTAGTAAGATTATTGGTTGACAGTGGTTGTTGCGGTTACTGTTTTCCCGCTCTGACATCAGCTTGCTACTTTTGCACCTTCAACTTCCATTTCCTTGCAAACTTTTCCCGCCTCAAGTTAATGGTGAGAAACCAGATAAGTGTTATCTCGGTATCTTCTGGAGCCCTGGTTGTGTGGCTTAGTGTACACCATGGTCAGGCCTCACTGGAGCACAGCGGATGGGATGGGTGTCCTGATGCACGCATTAGTTCTAAGTGCTCCTCAGAAGAAAATGTGACATTTCTGTCACACCTCATGTCTTCATCCCACAAACATCTGGACCTTTGTTCCATGCCAGGCCCATTGAAGGGGTGAGAAACTTTAGGTGTCAAGAGGCCTCACTATGGCTGGCTATGTCTCCTCTTCCACATCTTTTCTTCTTTTCAATGAAGAAGATGGTGACATGCCCTGGAACTGTTATGGGCTCTAGAGGATTGTGGAGTTAACTGCAAGCTCCCCACCCCCACCAGTTGATCAATTACAGAGACTATCAAGGAGAATACCAAGGGCTTAAAGGCCAGAGTAGGAACTTCTTTATCTCCCTACACTTGGTAAACAGCAGGCTTAGTTGCCTTCTGCTGACTCACCCACAGATCTGAGCACTGTGGGCCAGCCTGGCCTCCTGTGGGCTAGCCTGGCCTCCTGTGGGCTGGGGACATACCTCTGATTAGAACAATTGCAGGGACTCTGGGAACCCCTTCAGATTGGGTTTAGTCATTCTTGTGTCACTGAACTAAGGTTTTGCTTAGAGTTTAGAGGGCATCAGGATGCCAGGCTTGAGGGGAGAGGAGGCAAAAGAAAGACACTGGGGGGTGGGAATTCAAACTGCTTCTCTTCCTTTGCCAGGGTGACAGAGGAAAAGGCCAATGACGTCGGTGACCAGGTGTCAGTATAAAGTGGCTGGTGTGGAGAACGGCTCCTGTGAGGCCTGTTTGGATGAGAATCATTGAGTTCACAAAAGAAAGTAGCTGGTAAGTTCTGGAAACCCTTTTTTATAGAAGCCCGGAATGTGAATAATGCACTAAATAGGTGTATTGCACGTATTTAAATATTTATGTACAAACGGCCCTGTTTCTTAGCCTGCTGTGCCGCAGCCCCACGGCTTGACACAATTGTTTTTAAACTCCCGTTGTCTAGATGTGAGAAGGGATTGTACAAATGATGATGGAATCCTGTTAGACAAACAAAGAACAACACAGAGCAGCCCATTCCAAACAATCCGCTTCTTCCCAGGAAACCAGAGGAAAGAATTTGGAAAGCAGTGTCAAGGGGGAATTAAAATGGAGGGGTGTGGACCTGACTCCTGAATTCACATTCTCACCCTGACTCACAAGCTTTGTAACCTTGGGCAAGTTGTGTCCTCTCTTTGAACTTCAGACTCCTCACCGGTGAAGTGGGGATAATAATGGTCCCCACCTCGCTGAGCTATGAGAGTTGCAAAAATTAATTGTCTTGGGTGCCTGACCCTTACGAACCTGCCATAAATGCTGGCTTTAAAAGGGAGTTACTGTACCATGAAGAAGTGGAGGAAATCATTATCAAAGTATTGCAGAGTAAGATTTGGGGAGGGCAGGAGGCCCTGTTTTATGAAATGTCCCAGCTATGAATACAATGGTGGCTAAATATTGCTTAAAATTTGAATAAGTGCGTTTGGAACACCTACAGGCATGGATTAGATTGTTTTAGGAAATGAACTAAAATGTCCATTTGAAAGGAGGGAAGCAGAAGCGGTTGTTTGCAGGGGGCAAAGGTAGAACTAACTCCCAGACTTCTAGCCTAGAAATCATTACTACTCCTTTCCCACTGGGGCAGAGACATAGGTTCCACTTTCTTCCCTAGAAGCAGATGATCTGGGGATGTCTTGCCCCATGGCTGTGTCTTCCTGGGGACAGCATCCCAGTTCCTTTGCACAGAACATGAAATAAAGACCCAGGAGGAGGCAGAAGGGATTATGCTGGAATGACTGCCTACGGTGATTGCTTTCTCCCATCTTCTTCTGGGCCATGAGTTCCGTACCCCATTCACAGTGGAGTCTAGGGGCTAGTTCTGGAGTCTAACTGCTACCCAGAGCTATCCACTCACTGTGGATCTGTAACAGACCCCACCTGTGTCTCCTCTGAGCTTCCTTTTGCAGCCGTGGGTAGGTTGCATTGGCCTTCTGTGTGCACTTCCCTCTTCCGCTCCTCCTTTCTCCAAACCTTTGCATCAAGGAAGGCAAAGAAGGGCAAAGAATGACCATTCTCTACCTCACCGCAGCCCTAAGTCAGTGCTCCAACAGGACATGATGAACAAATGCTACCTTTGTGGGGAGACCTACAGATTTGCCAAAGAAAGGAAGGCAGTTCTGGGACCTCCTGGCTTCAGGATGGTGTAAATCACTCAACAGTGATAAAGTTATGAAGTTCAGTGATTTCCACTCTGTACCACAGCTAATTAGCCTAAGGCAGTGGTGACAGGGGCTGCATTCCCAAACTTTTCGGGAGGTAATCCTGCATGACTGGCTCCTGACAGTCTCGCACATAGTCTCTTTCCAAGACACTGCCTGTGCGAAGCTAGCATTACTGAGGTCTTCCTTCCTCCTTGACATGGTTCTAAGTGCTTGGGGGAAAACATTAACTCGCTCTCAGAGTTAATTTATTATTATTATTGGTGGTGTGGTGTTATTCACTATTTTTATTAATATGCCATTGTTACAAGGGGGAAACTGAGGCACAGCAACTTGTACAAAGTTATGCCCTCATGCTGAGAAACGGCTGAGGTAATGGAATCCTGTTTAACTGGCTCACTAAGCTGAAAAGAGGTCTTCTCACCCCAACTACGTGTGTCCAAGGGACCAATGCAGCTTTCCTTTAGGGCAGGCTTTGGATATGGAGTCTTTTTGCTGAGGGCAGGTGAAGGATTTTAAGCCTCCTCCTCTTGCCTGCAAAAGTGGATCTCAGAAGCTCAACTCTAGCCAGGAGAGATCTGAGCTACTTCTGATATGTCAAGAAGCCTCCAATAAATCACTCTTTGATGCCATGACCCGCATGGTTTAGTCCCGAAAACCTGACTGAGGTGATGGAAGAATGAAGAAAGGACAGACACACAGACGAGAAAGCTGGGATTGGATGGGGTATGCTCACGGTGATGGAGGGTACCTGTGTTTAGATGCAGAGCGGGAGAAGCGAGGGTGGGGGGGATTGGCCGGCTTTGGCAGGAGATCTCTCTTAACAAGCTAAATAGGTTCTCATCACCTCAGCTACAACTCCGTTGTTTTGTGGCCCTAGGAAGAGGAATCTGCACTTGGCATTTTTTGCAGTCAGTGGTCAGTGGTCACCTGTAGTTGGAACAGAGGAATGCTTTGTCTGGGAGATTGCTTCTTAATAATCCACATTCAGTTCAGGACTTCGTCTGCTCTTTATACATTCACATAAGGACACCAACGCTCCCCACACTTTCAGGGATATTGAAACAATATGGGCCAATGAATATAGAAGACAATTGTTTCTTGCATTTGCCCATATCATGTGATAATGGGATAATTTAATTATCTGGTGCGGATTAGATACTGTTCATGGCAATTATGCTTCCAGTCTTACAGGATGCAGTGATTATCTTTATATACACTTTAGATGAGCCCTTCTAGACATGAAATGGGTCTGGAGTGGGAACTAGACAGAAATGAATGTTGGGAATGAACAGTAGCGCCTATGGGTCTGTAGCCAAGAGGTGCTGAGTCAGCACTATTATGCTGGCGTGGGTTCGCCCGCCTGCTGTGAGAGGAGGGGATATTTCCCCAGAAGTTTCTCACCTTACCTACACACCAAATGTTCTCATTTCGCACAGCTGTGAATGGCTTTCAGCAAACTGTCAGGGAATGTTACCAACCGGCTTTGCAAAAAGAAATAAGGATGCTGAATTGCTGGTTTCCCCCCACACCCACAGCCAAGCGCTGCACTCTAAAGCTAAAACAAAACAAAATAAAACAAAAATGTTAGTTTTTAATCCACTGCTTGGGTGTTTTTCTTTTAAATTTATTTGTGTGTTTTTACATTGTTACCAAAGCTTCCTCTCCTTCCCCTCTTCTCAATCTTCCCCACATCCCCTTCTCCTCCGCTGTTTCTCTTCAGATACAGGTGAGCATCCCATGGATATCAGCCAACCGTGGCATATAAAGCTACAGCAAGACCAGGCACCTCCTCTTCCACCAAGGTTGGATGAGGCATGGATTTTTTTTTTTTCTTAGTGCATGTGTGTATTCAAGTGCAGGGCTATATAGAAGCCAGAGGACAAGGAAGGCCATTTACCTCCTTTTGAAACAAGATCTCTCATTGGCCTAAATCTCATTGAGTAAGGCTAGGGTGCCCAGCTAGTGAGTTCCAGGGATCCTTCTGCCTCTGCCTGCTCAGCACTAGAATTATAAGCTTGTGCTGCCATGCCTGGCAGTTTTTATATGGGGAGCATATTGCTGTGCATGGATGCAGGTTCTCTGCAGGAAGAAATACCCAGAATTAGGATTTTGCGTCCAGGGTAAATGTACCTGACGTTTGAAGACTGTTGTGAATGTTCTTGAATAGCTGGCATCCCATCAGCAGCACGTGTAAAGGCTTAACTTTTGTGGTTCCTCAGAAGAGAGCTTTGACAAGCACGTTGACCTATCAGATTGACCCGAATCTAGAAAAATCAAGATGTAATTTTAATTTTCATTTCTCCTGTTTGGAAAAGCACTCAGCTTTTCTTATGATGTTTAAGGACTGTTTTATTTATGCTCCATAAAATATGTATGTCCTTTGACAGCTTTTCTTTTCGTTGCTCATTGGTTTCCTATGGACTGCTCGTAGTTGCTTCCGTACTAGCAAAATTATCTGAGTTTTTGTCTGTGATTTGAGTTGAACATATTTTCCCCGGGCTGTTACCTGGGTCTTGACTTTGCTTATGGCATACGTATTTTGTAAACGGGACGTGTTAAAAAGCATGACTGAATTGCTGGAACTTTAGTTTTCCCTCTCCTGTGTTTTGAATCATAGCTGGAAGGACCTTTCCCCACTCTGCGCTCGCCACTCTCAGTTTCTTACGCTGCTTAGAAATGATGAAAACGTTTCCGACGTGCACCAGTTAGAGGAAGTCATCGAGCACATGCGGGCGTCCGCCATCCAGTGTTAGGAATTAGAAATATTGCCCAGTCTGATCTGTTGGCCCACTCATATTGAGAATATTAATGCACGAATTCCAGACGTTGTATGGTTTACTTCCTAAGTGTATCAATTGATGTTAATAACATAGAAGGATGTTTTTAAAGAACATACTTCATAACATTATTATGGTAAGAATTACCAAGATCATTTGATGCTGCTTTGTATTTACATTTTCCTCTGGAAATTCATAGCTTCGGATTTTATTTTTTTTCTATCCATTCTGTTGTCCCAACTTAACTTTTTTTTTTTAAAAAAAAAGATTTATTTATTTAGTATACAGTGTTTCTATCTGCTCCCATGCCTGCAGGCCAGAAGAGGGCATCAGATCTCATTATAGATAGTTGTAAACCACCATGTGGTTGCTGGGAATTGAACCCAGGACTTCTGGAAGAACAGCCAGTGCTCTTAACCTCTGAGCTATCTCTCCAGCCCCACAACTTAACTAGTGTATTGGAGTTTATTTCTGGACTTTCTATTCTATCCCGTGTATCTCTCTACTTATAGTATGTCACTATTTGAATTATTGAAATGTTAGGGCATTTATAATGATTATTATGACTACTACATAGGTGAAGTAGTAAGGCACTATCCAATCCATGCTGTATAAAGGTGGTGGAAAATATGATTTACAAACTGCTTCCTCAGACTGGTAATGTTGAAAGTGACAGCATAGGAGCAGGGAGCTGGCATGTGTGTGAGTGTGCTCCCAAAGGAAAGGACCAGCAAAAGCAGATGCTACTGAACGGCTTCTTGAATTGTAGGTCGCGATAGCATGTGGGGTCCTGACAACTTTGACAAGAGTGGGTGAAGGATTTTGAGCGTGTAAGAACCTAAGATTAATTAATTCCTAATGCATAATTCATCCGAGGTATTTCTGCAGTGCTCATCTGTGTTGCACCATGCAGCTTCACTGCAATCTTGGCTCTGCACATACAGCATGTGTTCTTTGCACCGTGCCTACCTACACCCTGCATGCCATCGAGTACTGCCTTTTGGAACAGTCAGCTCGGCTTAAGACAATGTTATGCTGTGAACTGTGGTGTTTTTACTGTCAACGCAGTTTTCCGCTTTTATTAAAAACGTGTTTTAGTTATGAAAAAAGGAATTTTAATATTTTCCTGCCATAATTTCTCAGCTCATAAGTATCGATTTAGTGTATCTTTGAGTTCTATTGGGTTATGATGTTTGATTTTAAGACTTGCAAATTGTGTTGCCGACATGAGCTCCATGAAAATATTGTGAAATGCATTTGGGCTTGGAATGAGGATGGAATTTCCAACAATTTCCAAAATGGCCACAAACACTGCTTCTGCATTTTGTACAGCACATTAATGCAAAGTGGCAATCTCAGCCTTGACTAATAGAAAATCAATACCAGTCAACTAGAAATTGTGTAGACCATCCTCACGTCCCGCAGAATCAAATATTCAGCCAACATTTAATCCTTTTAGAAGTTTCTTTTGATATTTATTTTGGGTGGGGAGGCACTCACATGACGTGATTGTCAGCATCCAGGCACACCTGGTCCCACCCCTTGGGGACCTGGCAGGGTGTGTGTAATCCCTTTAAAAGGTGGAACTCTTCCTACTTCTTCCTTGTGCTCTTTCTCTCTCTCTTTCTCTTCCCTCGAGGCAGCTCTGCGTTCCCTTTCTCTCTCCCCTCTCCCTTCCCTTCCCTTAATAAAACTCCCCTTGTAAGCTTGGTCTGCACCCTCTGTGGTTTGGACCCATCATCCAAGGTCCCATCTCACATTGTATCATAACAGTGACACTTATCCAGGGGTCAGAAAATAACTTTCTTCTTCTACCATGTATGCTCTGGGGATTGGACTCAGATCGTCAGTCTTGGCAGTGGGCATCTTTAGCCAGAAGGCTATCACACCAGCCCAAAATTTAATTGTTCATTAAAAATAACCAAGTTTATCCATCTCATTAGTATACAAATGTACTTTCATCTTAAATGGCAAAATCATCTGTATGTCAAAGAGTTGCTTTAATATAAAATTTGTTTTGACTTATTGTGAGTTGGTTAGACTTATACACCTCTTTTACATACCTGGGAATGCCCAAGAGTTTCTCAGACAGAGGAGATCATGAGTAGGAAAAGTTTCCCTGCTCTAGAGAATAAGAAAAGAAACAGTGATAACGAAAAGGTTTGGAACTTGGAGTAGGTAGAGGGTGATGAGGAATCAACTAGAGAAAAAAAGGCATGGCCTTGGAGCTTGACACTTGCTTTTCTCTGGGTACTGGCTTACCCTGATTCTCTTTCTGCAGAACCAGAAAAGCTGACACTAGAGAAAGTTGAAATACTTTCTAGAGACCAGCGTGTGCCGCAGAGCAGGGCCCTGATCAGGTGTGTCAAGAAGGCTCTGTCACTGTGTTGCTGCTTTGAGAAGTTTACAGTCTCAGAATCCAGTGACACGGAACCCCAGGTGTGCCTGCCCACCAGTGGCTCTGAAGATCCGAGAGTGAGCTGGGGAAAGGTGTGTCATTCTCAGCCTTGTTTCCAAAAGACAGGACCAAAGCTCTCCAGTTACATGTCTTCCTGGAGAAGGTCCGGGCTGGTGATGTGAGGCTGAGTGAGTGTAGAAACGACACTGATGGAGTCGAGCATGATCTTTTGTTGACATGCTCCTATCCGCTGAACTCTGCGTGCACCTTCAACAGAGCAGCGTTCAGGGAGGAATAAGTGGACAATATGTGGTAAATAGGCCTAGATTCTAGAGTGGGCAGAGAAGCTGAGCCAGATTCCTGTACGATGACATCCTTCCCCTGTCAGCATCCTTAATAACTTTAGCACAACCTGTGACCTCCCCAGCTCCAATTCCTCACACCGTGGCTATGACCACATCATGCTTACCTCACAGCCATGTGTGGAGAGATCATTAGTGGCAGACGGGAATGTTCTTTAGGGATGAATCATAGCGTGTTGTGAATGTGCTAATTTGAGGCTTCAAGGCCTTTGGGTTGGGATCATCTCCTGTTGCTCGAGCCCAAATACTAAAGGGTAGATGGAAACTGCTCTAGTTTAGAGTCAAGGGAATGGACCAGTTTCTTGGCCATTGGTGTAGAATATGGATGAGATCTGAATGTGCATTTTAAGCTCAACTTTTTTGTTTGTTTTATTTTGTTAAGCGTCCTTGAATGAGAACAGCGGGGAAGAGGAGGAGGAAGACTTGATTAAGAAAGGTGAGTTCAAGTACACAAGGAAGGTGAAGTAAAGCAGTTCCCTTTACTTGGGCAATGAGTGTTTTGAGAACATTGTCCTGGTGGAGGATGGGGGAGGCTTTGGGTGTGGAAGGTGAGATGCCGTAGGAAGAGTGAGAAAACATGTAGTTCAGCTTCTTGTGGCAAAACACCGGCATGGAGGGCAGAGATCAACTTAAAGGAGAAGGATTTATTTTGCTTGGTGATTTTGGAGGCTCTGGTCCATGTAGAGTGGTTATGTTGCTTCTGCACTATGATAAGGCACAACATCATGGTGAGTCGCAGAGTTGCTTACCTCCAAAAATCAGAGATCAGAGATGACAAAAAGGAGGGGCCAGGGACAAGACATGGTCCCCAAAGACAGCCCTCAAGGATGCACTCTCCTCAAGCTTCCAACATCTCCCAACTCTCCATCAAGGTGTGAGTTCATCAATAGACCAATCCAGGGGTGGGGACAGACCCCTCCACTTTGGGTTCAGTCACTTCCCAAAGTTCGATCAATGAGCATTGTTATATTGGAGACCTTCATTGCATAAGCCATTTGTGGACACTTAAGATCCAAACAAAAACAGACACTTTGGAAGAAGGTTCTTAATTTAAGAGAGAAACCCAATGTCAAGAGAAAAATCCAGTGTTAGTTTATAAAATAGAATATCTTAGGAAGGAAACAGTAGAGCATAAGACAACTCAATTAATAGATGTTTCAGTAGTTCATGGATTGGTTACATTCAGATAGACGTGTTTCCATGCAGGTATGTATAAGCACATATACATATCTGTATATGTGTAATGCAACGAGAAGGAGCACCTCTGGATGTATGTGGCTTCATGAGCTTCAATGCTATGTTAATAGCTGTCTGTGCTCATTTTCCTAATGTCTTTTGTCTGATGTTGCTCACTTCATTATGCTTATTCCATGGTACACTTCAATATGGTCGGGTTAGGAATCACTAAATTTTGTTGAGGTTGTAATATCTGAATGAGGTTATAAAATACTCAACTACATTTATCTTCTGATAAGAACCCAGTGGTGTTTTCAGTTTCTTATTGATTGATTTGCTGCATTAGCCACATGTTGATTCCTCACAGACTGAGAGAGCATAGTTCTTCCCCGTTACTGGTAACAAGACTTCAGGCTCTACTGCATTTCCTATGATTGCTCCGCTACAGCAAAGGGCAGTGGTGTCCAGAGTTGGTCTCTTCCTGCTGTCTAGAGACTGGATTCAAGATTCATTGGCGTTCTGGCAGGAGCCAGACTATATAATTTACTGCTGTTATTTCAGAAAGTTAACAAGGAGCCATTCACAATGGCCCAGGAAGCCCTCAGCAGATGTACTGGACTGTAGAGTTATCTGCAGAGAAGAGCCATTTCCATATAACTCAGGCCTAGAGGATACGGACAAATGGTTATTAGCCTCTAAGAAGTGCTAGGTGTGGCATGCCCCCTGGTAGGCAGTGACAGACATAGTGGCACAAGGGAAGTAGTCATGGGGATCGATCCCCAGCCAGGCTTTCCGACCGCCTTGCAATCTGTAAGCTGGTGCTGTTGGCCAAGCCAGCCAAACCTGAGCCATTCGGAAAGGAACTCTGAATGGCGTATGCTTGCCTTCCTAGCACAGATGGGATGGAGGGAGATGGAGGGTGGTGTGATGGAGGAAGGTCATTGGTTAAATAAAAAGAAACTGCTTGGCCCTCATTGGTTAGAAGATAGGTGGGAGGAGTAAACAGAACAGAACGCTGGGAGGAAGAGGAAGTGAGCTCAGACTCCACAGCTCTCCTCTCGGGAGCAGACGCCTCAGAGAGACGCCATGCTCCCAGCTCCCAGGCAGACGCATGCGATGAAGCTCTGACCCAGGATGGACATAGGCTAGAATCTTCCCAGTAAGCGCACCTAGGGGCGCTACACAGATGATTAGAAATGGGCTAAATTAATATGTGAGAATTAGCCTAGAAGAGGCTAGATAGAAATGGGCCAAGCAGTGATTAAATGAATACAGTTTGTGTGTTGTTATTTCGGGCATAAGCTAGCCAGGCAGCCAGGGTGCTGGGGACGCGGCCCTGCCGCCCTTATTACTACAGTGGTGGTCTTGAGGAAAGAGTAAACGAAGTCATTTCCTCTTCTTCACCAGATGGAGCCAGCTGAGGAAGATCACATTGCTACAGTGTGTTTAAGGGAAGGGAATGTGTGCACTGAACCATAGAAGGCGTTAGTTGCTGAAACTAGAGTTCTCATGGCCTCTAAATGGGAAACTGATTGAGTGAAACCTTGCTCACTTTGATAAATTATCACAATGGAAATGAAAATTCTGTTTGTAGAAAAGAAAAGATATTTTTAATTGGCAATGCCTTGCCTTTTATGTCTGTAAATCTCGTAGAGAGCTTAAAATCCATTTCCAAGCAAGGATTGGAACTTGTTCTGCCTAGTTCTGAGAAAGGATAGTAGTACAGATTTTTGTTTGGTTGGTTTTGATTTTTTGGGGTGTGTGTGTGTGTGTTCATATGCTTAAGTACATGCATGTTGGTGTTTATGCATGTGCTCAAATGTCTTCCTCAGTCATTCTCCATCATAGTTTTTTGAGGCAGCATCTCTTATTGAACCTGGAGCTCACTGATTGGTCTAGGCTGGTTGTCTAGCAACCTTCACCAGTCCTTGTCTCAGATCCTTTTTTAAGAACCATGGCTAGAGATGAACTTCACTGTTCCCAGCTTTTACCTGAGTGCTGACGATCAGAACTCAGGTCCTCATACATATCCAGCAAGGAATTTACCTACTTAGTCATCTCCAAAGCCTCCAAGGAGGTCAACCTTGTATCTTACAAACAAGCTTCATGATTTTCTTAGCTAGAAACCATCCTGCAGACTAGAGCAGATATGAAGGTTTTGTGAATGAGAAATATTTGAACTGGACCTTCCAAGCAGGATGGACTGTGTGATATACATTTAAAGTAATAAAATGATATGTAAGAACACTTACGGCTTTGTGAATCAAAGGCTGCAAGAGCTCCTGCATGTTTGGTGTGTGCCAAGACTTTTTTGGGGGAGATACAATACGCATGTCTACTGCCCACGACAGACCCAAGTACAGATACTATCAAATTCCAGTTTGATGAACCAGTGAGTTTTATTGCGGTACTTACAAGAATTTGGTGAGGGATTACTTATAGGTACAGAAATGACTCAGAGACAGCTGCATCACTAAAGCCCACCCCAGCATGGGTGACAGCTCATGAAAGCTGGGAATCTGGAGCTCACTACACAGCCTGCAGGCACTCAACAGGTTGGAAAGTGTCCTGTCCAGGTAGCTCAGATGGCCTAAGCCCCTTAAAAGTAGTTCAGCTGATTTCTGCTCCTTTGGGGCTGCCTGTTAGGTCTCTGCTTTTGCAGGGCAGCTTGACTTGTCTGAGAGCAATTCTTAAGCAGTCTTTATTTTTACTTGTAGGGAGGGCGGAATCTAGTGAATCTGATCAGTTTCAGGGACTTCCTGAATGTACGTTGAGTAGTTTACTTCCTTTCTTAAGGAGTTTCCTTGGGAGATGAAATGTTTCAATCCAAGGACGTCTGGATATTGTTCCATCTGCTGGTTTTTAGAGGTTTTAAATCATGATTTCATATATCTCCAGATAATCATAGAATTTGAGAATTGAAAACATACATATTGAATTTGAGTCTTTTCAGCTTTTGGAAATCAATACTGATATTGGCCAGTATGACAATCCATCATGGGAGAATAATTCTCTACATTTAGCGGTAAGTTGGCGTTGTGACATCATTTTAGCTTTTATTTCCCTTTAATTCTCTAAACTCTATAAAATGCGTGTGTGATATTTCTATTTTACTGATAGGGAAACTGAGTTTCATGGCAATTGAGTGAGAGGGAATAGAGGCGAAAGTCAGAATTTCTGCCCAGGCAGAAATTGGTCTCCAAAGGCCAATTTCTCCCCATTGTATCAGGCAGCATCTTCGCTTGACTTTGCCTTTGTGGGACTGCGAGCCACATTACCAACCATTAAATATCGTTTTTCATGTTGCAATTAAAACGCTATTTAATGCACATAATTTTTCAGTTTCCTCTGGGAATACAAAATTATGCACATATATATCTTTATATATGTACATTTCCTTCTGCTCCGAGTGGTAATAGTGACGATTTATAATGCTAGTGACACACTGTAACTTTGCTATATATGCAAGATACAGAAATTTTTTCCTTAGGACTGCTTTTATAAGCTTGTCAGCTTCCAGAGAGTTCTTTGAAGAATCTGTTCTGGGTTTTGTGACTATGCAAAAGTCAGCACAATCTTCTTTTGCCATAGTGTGCAGTTTATCGTTGGTTTTTAAACACCCTCCTGTTTCAAAATGATCTTTGCAGATTCATTGTTTGTTTGTACCGTTTATTTTTAGATGGAGAGCTGAGAATAAAATTGAGCTAGTAGGGGCTTCATAAACAATAGGCGGTAACATAATGCCCCAGGACAGTGAAAAAAATAGGAAACAGGACAGTGTGTAGTACCAGTTGGGTTCTCTTCATGGGCAACTATGGGTGCTCTGAACCATGAGATTATTGGTCACTGGTGGGTGCTGTAAGCCATGAGATTATTGGTCACTGGTGGGTGCTGTAAGCCATGAGATTATTGGTCATTGGTGGGTGCTGTAAACTGTGAGATTACTGGTGCACTGGTTACATTTTTGTCAGATTGACACAAGCCAGGGTCATCTGAAAAAAGGGATGCTTCCATTAGATTGGCCTGTAGCCTGTGGGGCATTTTCTGGATTAATTGATGTGGGAGGCCCCAGCCCACTGTGAGTGGTGCCACCCCTGGACAGGCGGTCCTGGGTGGTATCAACATGCAGGCTGTTGCAACAGCAACCCATGAGTAACAAGCCAGTAGGCAGTGTTCCTCTGCTTCAGTTCCTGCCTCTAGGTTTCTGTATTGTTTGAGCTCCTGCCTTGGCTTCTCTCAGTGATGGACTGTCATTTGGAA